GGTGGGCTCATCTTGCGTCAGAGATGGAAGTGGCCGCAGCCCATGGTAACCATCGGGAGTTATTTCGTCTGATATGGGAAACGGGCAGAAGAAGACCTGGTGTTAGTGAAATCATTTTTGACGAGTGGACGGACTATCCACAACTTGTCAGAACGCTTGGAGCGTTGCGTAGAGCATTTCGAAAAATAATTAAATTGACCGGAATTGTTAGATGCCTCACCGGCCAGTAATCGCCCTACTCCTAGGGCTGTCCCTTGGGATCCGCACTCTCGCTCAGAAGTCGAGGGTGCGAATGGAATGTTGAAGTTATATAAAGCCGATGGACCAGATGATCTTCATCCAGCCCTATACCAATCCGGAGCTCTGCATTCGTTGATGACGTACGTGAATTACTAGTAAAACTGTGGGAGCAGGAAACTGTCCAAAAAGACTGGAGCCGCTCCGTTATTGTCCCGATTTTTAAAGGAGGCTCGCGTTCGGAAAGCGGAAACCATAGAGGAAACAGTCAGATCCCCATCACCTTCAGATTGCTTGCCTCTATAATCCTTCACAGACTGACGGGGGGTCGAGAAAGCCAGATTCGTGAGGATCAAGTCGGGTTTCGTCGAGGTCGGGGATGCATCGACCACGTATTCATATTACAACAGCTGTTGCAGTATCCTCACATACATTGGCGGCCCACCGTTGTGGTGTTCCTCCATATCAAAGGTGTATTCGATTCGTTGGATAGACGTGCACTTTGGGACTGTCTACTCAGGAAAGGTGTGCCTGAGAAATATGTGAATATTATCCGAGCATTATACGCGCGTAGCTCGGGCAGAGTGAGGGCTTACGGCAGGTTGTCGTCGCCCTTTAATATCTCCAGCGGCGTGAGACAAGGATGCCCGTTGTCACCTTTCCTCTTCAACCAGGCCATGCAAACAGCGTCTAAAGGATACGATATGGAAGTCGAGGAGCTGCTCCAATGTGAAAGACTTTTTGACTTCGAGTATGCTAAAGATATCGACCTCATCTGAAACAGCTCACAAAGGTGTCAAGCGGCACTGGACAGATTAGCACTGGCTGTCACCCGTTTCGGGCTTTGCTTTGCACCAGTGAATAGGAAAACTTTCTTTCAAGATTGGCAGCGACATTCTGCGCTGACCCCTGGTGGGGATCAGCTAGGTCGTTCCAAAGTCCAACTACCTAAGGCATTTGTATCAGCGCCGTTGGAATTGAAGGTGAGGTCACAAAAGCAAAAGCTCCTTGAGCTTTTGCTAATCTTCGCCACCTTTGGCGCAGGCGCGACATCACACTCCATGAAAAGTAGAGTATACAATGTAGCCGTACGTTCGACCCTACTGTACGGCTGTGAAACCTAGCTCATTAGATCAGTCGATATAAAGAGGCCAGTTAGGTTGGAAAACCGGTGCTTCCGCAGTTTGGTTCATATCTGGTGGGAACACCGTGTCAGCAATAAGCGTGTTCGAAGCATTCTTAATGGTGCAGGAAGAAGAGGCGAACCGCTCAGCACCATTATTTCACACACCAGGCTCTGATGGCTGGGTCACATGCCAGCCCACCGGACTTCCGCGGCGGGCGTTGTTAGCTCGCCGGGATGGGAATGGAAGAAGAGGAGAGAAAGCCTAGCAATAACTTGGTCAAGAGAAATGAAGCGCCTTACTTAGCAGTTGACCTCGGTTGGAGCTACTCGGCTCCCTGTTTGGGGACCGAAGGAAGATGAACAAGTCTGGTTGGTGTTTGCGTTGTGAGTTTCCTTGTCCCTTCTCTACGGTAAAGCGTTCCCTCCAAACTATATCTAATGTACTGGGCATAAGGTGATTTTTTGCGGCACAAAGGCCGGATGTTACCTCTCCGGAACGATGTTTATCAGTTGCTGAAGACTCAGCCAGTGTGGAACTGTGTCATGTATTCTTTTCTTTTCTTTTTCATTGCATCAGCACAGCTTAGGAAAATTGATACCTGCAGCTAGCGGGTATAAAGAAAAAATTACAGAGGTATGCGAGTGAAAATGTAGTTGAGTGGAGAGACCTCGGATGACTTTGCAGTTCTCTCTGGCGTGAGACAAAGCTGCGTCTTAGCTCCTGCCCCGATTAAGACATATCTTCATACTATGTTGTCTTTTGGTTTTGTTGCGGCTTGTGCCTAGGGTGTTCGTGTGTAGCAAAGTATTGATGGCGGGGGACTGAACATCCGTCGTTTCGGTGCGAGAACTCTAGTCTGTGAGACAACTATCCGTATGTTGCTGTTTGCTGACGACTGTGCGTTGTTTTCACACAGCGCAGATGAGTTGCAGCACATGACTAGTGCTCTGGTTCGACAGCGGCGAAATTCGGGCTCATCATCAACACGAAGAAAACTGTCTGTCTCTTTCAGCCTTCACCGAAGGTGCAATCTGAAATGTTGCCGTAAATCAGTATTGGTGATTAAATATTGGAAACCGCCTCTCGCTTCTGCTACCTTGGGAGTGTGATGTCGACTGACCAGCAGATACGCATTGAGCTGCGTATCGGAGTATCAAAAGCAGCGGCGGCGTACGGGAAGGTAGAGCACCAAGAGTGCAACAAATACCAGCTCACCATCACCACAAAGCTGATGGTGTACAAATCCATGATGTTATCCGCTCCTCTATACGGCAGCGGAACGCGGACAACGTACCGGCAAAAGGTGCAATATCTCGAACGGTTTCAGCAAACGATTTTGCGCAATGGTCGGTGCGACAGAGTTGCGAGCACGGAAGTGTTGCGCCGAAGTGGAATGTATGCAGTGCACTGCATACTTTTGCAGAGACACCTTAGGTGGCACGGTCAGGTGAGCCGGACGGATTCGACGCGGATACCTAAATAACTAGTATGTGGTCAGCTGAGTATTTGGGAGCGGCGTGTGAGGAAATCGAAGCTTCGTTAACAGGACATGATCAAAGTGAGCCCATCACGTTCTAATCTTGATGGCAGGTCATGGGAATCGAAGGCGGTTGATCGGCGTACATGGAGTGATCTGACAAATAACGCAGTTTCCGAGGTGCAAGAGAAAACTCTCGTGCATGCGGAGAAGAAGCGGCAGGTGCGGAAGCGACAGGCGTAGTTGGGGTGTACGTCATCTACCTCGATCGCATGATGTTGTAGCACATGCAGTCGAGAGTGCCTGAGTCAGGCAGGCCTAGTGAGTCATGTGCGAGGCCACACGATGCCAACACAGAAACGGCGACGAGTCCTGCAGAGATTGTAGGCAGAACCGGCTCACCGTTTTTAGGTACGCTGCATTCGATTTACTAACTGCGTGCTTGCATGCTGAGTCTCTTTATTTCAGGTGGTGGGTCTGCCATATCATCTCAATGCTTTCTTGTCACATTTTAATGTCTACCTAAACTAGCTTCTATAAACTTGCACACGTCGCTTAAGCTAACTGTAGTTAACTTCAACAACATTTTCGCTGTTCTGGCATTTTCTGACGTCTTGAATTTATCGCGGATTTGTTCGTAACCTGTTTTTTATACGCTCATCCAGTGAAGAGTTATATCAGCATATCTGCATACATCATTCGATTTATTTTATTTGATATCGTCGTTTTAGGTGATTGACTGTTGCTTGATATCCCCGGGGTGGGTGCACATGGTGTGTATGTTGACAAGGTTCCTACCTATCTATTACCCACTACCTCGTCCATCCTGGCTCCAGGAGACAGTTAGTCGTTACTGGAGGGGACGGGGTGCACGGCCCTTGTGGCCGTGCTAGGCTCGAAAAGTGGTTCCATGCACTCAGTGTGGAGCGGACTATGGTCCAGCCACTGCCTTGTGTGCGCTTGATTCCCTAAATACAATGTGTGTTTGGCTTTGAAGGAGTATGGGTTGGCTCTGTTGATGAGACCTGGCTTCCATCCACATGCCTCCCGATCTTATTCTTCGGGTTTACATGGATATGGGGTGTGTGGATGGAGCTGTGGGTGGTCCAGCGTAAGCCACCATGATCCCACTGTAGGCGCAGGCGTTTAGCGGCTGGCCACAGCACAGTGATAGGCAAATCGGAAACCGGATGACACCAGCTATATATATATGGTTGGCGGCATCCGGTTTCGGATTTGCCTGTCACTGTGACAAGCCACAGGACGCCTGCGCCTACAAAGGGACCATGGATGGCTTGCGCTGCACCACCCACATACCCCATATCCAGTGTAAACCCGAAGGAATAAGAACGGGAGGCATGCGGATGGGAACCACGTTTCATCAACGGAGCCGGCCCACACTCCTTCACAGGCAAACACAAGCACGCTGTAATTGGGGAATCAAGCGCACACAAGGCGGTGGCTGGACCGTAGTCCGCTCCACACTGACTGCATGGAACCGCTCTTTGAGCCTAGCACGGCCACGAGGACCGTGCATCCCGTCCCCTCCAGCAACGACCAACTGTCTCCTGGAGCCAGTATGAACGATGTGGTGGGTAATAGACAGGTAGGCACCTTGTCAACATACACATCAAGCGCAACCATACCAGGGATATCAAACAACAGACATTCACTTTAAACGACAAGCTGAAATAAAATAAATCCAATAATGCATACAGATACGGTGGCATAACTCTTCGCTAAATTACCATATGAAGTAATTTGGTTAGCAACAAATCCGTGATAAGTAAGAAATGTCCACAAGTTACTTAAAATGCTACAAACGCAACAAAATTACCGAAGACAAGCGCAATTAGTGTAAGCAACGTGGCCAGTTAATAGAACATTATATATATATGTATACATATATATATATATATAGCAAAAAATCTCATTGGGCAAGTTCCGATCCTGTGAGGAAACAGTTGTCGTAAGGTAGGGGATGTGCTTCCCGACTTTTGTTAACGTGCAAGTTGATGACCATCACTGGAAAACAGAGCAGTGCCAACTTCGTGCACATGAATATCTGATCAGTATATCAGTGTTGCCTGTTAAATGGCATGCATGAAGTGAGTCAAGGGAAAGATATGAAGGATTCGGCTGAAACACAGCACACTTACCTTGCTCGTCTATTAAATTCGATGGTGGATCGGCGGAATACAAAACTAAACTCATCTGATTGTCCGTAAGCAAGGATGATGTCCGCATGACGCATCATAACACTTTCGGCTGCTCTACAAGACAATGCTAAAGCACGCTTATCATTGGGTTTTTGGAAATAATGTTTCTCGCTGAATCTGCGGAAACCTTGCCCGTCGATGCGAACAACGATCCACGTGTGGGGCAGACATTTGTCGTTAATCTCGAAGTTCTTTACATACTCGTAAGAGCAATTCACCATCGCGGTATTCTGGGAGGTAAATCGTAAAGCCCGCAAAGGACGAAAATTTGTGCCGATGAATCCACGCGGGCTAACGAGGATAGCGAGACAGGGAAGAAACTGTAAAGTAACCGGAAGACGAATAGTAGTAAAGGGTAAGTAAGTACACAGCTTGGAAAGGCAAGACTAAAGTGAAGTACCAGATGTGTTAAATGAGGAATAAAGAACAAAGAGGTGAAAGATCATCAGGACCAAGTGAACGCATTATACGACAGAAAGTAGAGATAAAAATAGTGACAGAGTCGTGAATCCTGGCAACACGGCTTCCACGTTTAGAAACTAAGGTATCAATGTATAAGATACTGCTGACCCTACAAAGAACAAATGATTTTACAGGTTGGTGATCAAAGTCACGTGTTTATCGAGAATCAGTAGATCGAAAGAGTGCAGCCCAAGGAAAAGAGGAAGTCGTGGATTTTGCACCGTAGGCGTTAAACTCACAGTGCATGGATACGGAAGGCTTGAATTAGATAGTTTCGTACACAGAACACTGTATACAGAGCCAGTGTGGGAGTCACATGTAAAAGGAATGCAATTAAACTCCATCCACACGTTAAGATATGACCCGCAAGGGAAGTGCAGCGAAAAAGGTCCTATTCTGATGGCATTTAACAACAGCATAGGAAATGGAGTAGAAAACACAAACACAAGTTTCGATGATTTGAGAAAAAGGAATCAGCAGTATTTCGACACTTGATACCAATGTTTCGCTACTACGAAACAACCACTAGTCGAGAACAGATAAAGGAAACGTTTACCTAGCCTGTATCTACGTAGATTCGGACCAGTGACGTTTCAAAGAGAAGCAATTGCGTCAAACCAATCGGCCATCGGCGCACACTGATCATAAACTCATGGTTTACCAATCTCAAGCGTGATCCAAATAGTAAACAGCTCATTTTTGTATGCTATCCACCGAGTACTAAACCGACCAAACTGGAAACTTCAGGCAACAAGATGTTTTGAAACCAAAGTCCAGGTGCATTAACAAAGAACACGACATAAGCAATGTAGGCGCTCTAAGCGAAGAAGATGAACTGGTGTGAAAATGCTTTTATAAGTAAATAAATGACTATTCGCGATTTACTCGAGGCACATCGAAAACGGCATCATCAAGAAATGTCCCGAGTACAAATCGGTCAGGATGAGTAGTGCCAAAAGCGTTTATACAAGATGCTCAGTAACAAAGGGAAAACTTTGTAACAATTCGTCGGATTGCAGGTCAGAAATGTTTGCTAAGATCAGCTTTAGAATAAATAAACCGAAAATTGTCTTAATGGACAGTGGACATTTGAGGGTGCGAACTAAAACACGGTTACACATGTCTACAGAAATCTCCCTGTATAAAACCCAGTTGGCTTCATCGATCAAAAAGGACTGATTTTTCGCTGAGTTGAAAACAGATTTAATGCTTCGATTTTCCATGAAACCTCCTTTCAGTTAGTTATCATAAATCAAATATCGGGGTTTAAATTTCTGCATACGGAATACCTCTGGTGGAGATTCATGTGGAATTGCCGTGCAATGCACACCGAGAATCAAAAACGAAGACTGGGATGCAATTAGAAACTAGTTTGACTAGAAGGTAATATATTATTTTAAGGGAACCTATGCTCCATTGAGCAATTCTGATTTGGTCTTCCTTGATTGGCTGCCTCTGGTGGAAACTTTGTATATTCATCGATCGAGCCAATTCGTCGTGCGGGTTTACAAGGCAAATCTCGACTCTGCGGGATCCGATTGAAACCTCAGTGCAACTGTCCAGGAGCGGAGGCAGCAGACGTCGGTTATTCATTGTTGCAGTGTACGTTCACCCAAACAGCAACCCTAAGTCACTTACGCACGAGTCAACTGCCTGAATTTCTCCGTAAAATGCGCAGCACCCACACTGTGGTGCTTGCTGGGGATTCGGACTAGAAGTTGACGAACGTGAACTCAGTGGTCAACACGGTCACAGTATACGCAGAACAGACAACGATAATCGCTTACTTTTGCTCTGCGCCGATCACAGCCTCTTTCTGTCGAGCACTAGCTTTCGGTGATATTAGCGTCAACGCGCCACCTGGAAACTTCCACCAACTGGCCAGCCATGGACACGAATTGACCACATCGCCATCAGTCATCCATGGCGGAACTGCATACAGGATTGCAAATCAATCTGGAGTATCTATCTCACTTACGATCACGAACTGGCGTGCGCCAAGGTCGCGCTACCTTTTTGTGACTCTAAGCAACGACACCGGAAACGGCTTAACGAGGCCAAGTTTCCAGCCCCGAAAATTATCTGCGCTTTTCAGGACGCGCAGGCCTCGAGGCTGAAGACTGCCTCATGCACAAACATTTAAACGCACTGTACACACACTCTGGTGTGTGACTTAACTAGTAGTCCCGTACGCCACTGGATCTCTGCACGATCGCTCCAACTTCTCGTAGCCCGTCAAGCAATTACTGCTGGCGTTGAATAACATTCACTGCGCAGGGCTACTAGCATGAAGCTCAAACAGCTTCTCGGGGAAGGTCGGGAGGCCTGGTGGACGCAGTGGGTCAATGAGATGGAGCATGCGGCCAACTCGGGGAAATTCCGTACGCTCTTCCTACCGATGTGATTCACTGGCGGCAGAAGGCCGACTGTAAGCGAAGTTTTATGCGAAAACAATAGCGAACCAATTCACTATCAAAAACGTAGACTTCAGCATTGGACCGAGACTGTTCAGTAGCAGTGTAATTTGCCAGCAGCACCTGAGTTCACAGTTACGAATCCAGAGTGCTCCCTGGTGTATAGACTATTCACCATCATCTAAGGCTGAGGTTGCCCGCGAGCTTCATCTCATAAAAGCTACAAAATCCCTGGCCCAGATGAACTAGCGACGGCTATCTTCAAAGATGGAGGCTCGTCATTCGTTCGGGAGTTAAGTTCGTTCCTCCAAGAGATTTGGGTCACCGAACTTATCGCATCTGACTGAAACCTAGCGGATACTGTGCATGCCTTCAAAAAGTGCACCAGAACTGATTGCAATCACATAGGGATTAGCTTCATCTGTGTTGCCTCCAAGGTGATCGCCGCTCTGCTATTAATGAACCTAAATTTGGTAAGAGAACAGAGCAGACGTGAAGAGCAAGCTGGGTTTCGCTCAGATCGGAGTTGCATCGATCACATCTTAACCATCCGCTAAATACTCGAGCGTAGTTAAACATTCGGCCGGCCTCTACTTCGGCCTGGGAGACCGGTAGTATAACGTCCACTGACGAAGCACGGATCACACTGCTTACTACTGCCCTCGCTATGCCTATCATATCTGTTAACTCAACTCCTCAACCTCCACTCACAGATCACCCCATCTCTTGTCCTTCACCTATATGTACAATTATATCATTGGTCACCGTCACAAACGACCCACGTCTCGCAAGTCATGGAAGTAACAACCAAACTCCCGGTTTTCAATATCCTGCTATCGCAACCCCATCGAAGCTCCAGCCCTTCTTCGACCTGGTTCTACATTCACCCTCGTAGCGTTTAATATTCGAACTGTGATGCAGATCGGACGACAAGTATGTCTGGTCCGTAACCTTGAAACGCTCTAGGTAGACATCCGTTGCCGTTTAGAGACCAGATTACAAGACTCTAGCGCCGTCAAAAGAATGCCTTCTCCGGTAAACTCTGACGCCAAATATCACTTGCGGCTTTCCGGAGACCCAGAAGCAGCTGTCTCTGGCCAAGCTGGTGTTGGGGTTGCACTGAGTGGTTGAATGGATCCCAGTCAACTGTCGGCTATGCGCAGTCCGATTAAGAGGTTCATGTAATGTAAGCAGGCGCCGAGATGTTAAGCGTGCCTTGTTTGTCGTCTCCGCTACGCCCCTACAGACTGCAGCCCGGATGCAGTTAAAGATAGCTTTAACCAGCAGCTACATGAAATTCTGCGTTCCTTCAAAAGGACTGATATAGTCATTCATGCCGGGGATTTTAACGCACGGGTGGGCCGCCTTCCACCAAGCGAGCACCACCTTGGGGATAGTTTTGGCCTCGGTGGCAGTCGATCAGACAATGGAGACAGTGCTTGCTCTTTGCTCTGATCATCGCTTGTTTCTTTCGAGCACTAGTTTTCGGCACTCAAGGAGACACACTGCTACCTGGCGCCCGCCCTCACAAACGCAAGTGCTCTCAGCTAGATCACATAGCAATCAGCTACAGATGGTGCGGAAGCGTAACGGACTGCCGATCGTACTGGTCAACTTATCTAGACTCCGATCACGCAATGGTTCGTGCTAAGATTTGCATGCGTTTCGGAGGATCACCCAAGCGCGCTCACTACCGACCGGACGTCGCAAATCTACAAAACCCTGCAATTTTAACCAGGTACCAAGCCTCACTGTCAACCTTGCTTGGCTCAACTATTGACGTTGACCTCGATTCGCAGTGGGCGCAGATGCCTTAGTTTCCGCCGGCATCGACACCTGTGGAGTTGCTCGTCACTCACCGAAGCATTGGATTTCCGCCGTCATCTTGTCGCTGGTGGACAAACGCCGATTGATCTCGTCGGATTCCAGACACAGTGAAGAACGCCAATCCCTGGGTCGAGAGTTGCGAAGAGTCTGCAAATGGACCGCGAAGCTTGTGGGTGTGAATGTGCTAGGGAGATGGAGCTTGCTAATCTCTGTGGTAATACCAGAAAACTTTTCCATCTCACTCGAGCCACCGAAGCTGTTCGATCTGGTATAAGTGAAACAATATGCGAAGAGGATGGCACCTTAATCACCAATCTTCAACGACGGTTGGAGCGATGGGCCGAACATTTTGGCTCGCAGTTTTGTTGGCCCCCAGCTCCATTTGCTACCTCCGGCGCTCGCGCTGGAGCAGGGTGGTCTACCCCCACAGATCCCCCCTCTTATCAGGAAATCGAGCAGGAGTTCCACCACATAAAGTGTTGCATATATATATATATATATATATATATATATATATATATATATATATATATAGGTGGCGGAGAAAAATTCACATGCACATGTGGCACAACACAGTGACTTGGAGAAGGAGAAAAAGTTTGGCGGAATTCCATGAC